TTTGATGGTATGCTTCCTCATATAAGCATAACTATTGTTTGTACGTTAGTTATTGTATTAGTCATTTTGATGCCATAATCTCTTTGTATGATTAGCAAGGGCTCAACAAGTCACTTGTTGAAAATAGTGCAATTACACTAGGGAGGCTTGCATGGGTCTGCCCAGATCTTGTATCACCACACATGGAACATTTCATGCAATCATGGTGTATTGCTTTGTCTAAGTAAGTATAATTTATTTTCGTCACTTTTGATGCAGAGCTAAGTTACACTTGTAATTGTTGCTTCATCTATGTCAACTCATTTGTCAAATAACTGTCAGGATACGGGATGATGTTGAGAAAGAAGATGCCTTCCGAGGTCTATGTGCAATGGTATGCATCTGTTTTTGTAATAATGTTAATTAACAGAGGCAAGAAACTAATTTGTTCCTGGATATACACTTTTCCAGGTCAGGGCAAATCCATCTGGTGCTCTGAGTTCACTTGTTTTCATGTGCAAAGCTATTGCAAGTTGGCATGTAAGGGTTCTGTTATCAATTGTATTTTAAGCTTTTGTTTATGTTAAACTAAAGTTTGACCTTAACTTTTTTTTTATCTGCCTGTAGGAAATAAGGAGCGTAGAACTTCACAATGAAGTTTGTCAGGTCTTGAATGGTTACAAACAGGTAGGCATTTGTCATCGCCAGCTTTGCTTTTGCTGATTATACCTTCTTGCTGGAAGTTTGTGGTTTACTACTTTTAACTTAATATATATTAAAATGATCAAAATCCTTATATTTTGTTATTGCGTGCCTTTTTTGCTTCTATGTACTTCTGCAATCATATAGGTTACCCTATCTCCTTGCCTATGAAAATTCTTTTTCTTTTTTCCAATTAACAAGGGAACTTTAGTACTTTTTGGTTGCTTATATTTTTGCCAAGGATACATAATTATTATAACATGCAATAGACTAGGTTCAGTTACTGAGTCAAGTGAATAAATGTTGCCTGCAGATGCTTAGGAATGGGGCGTGGGACCAATGTATGTCTGCTTTGGAGCCACCTGTTAAGGATAAACTTTCAAAGTATCAAGTATAAGAACTTGGCCGCTATACATGCTTGTCGTCATTCTACATCATTTGCTGTTATTGAGAGGTTTATCAGCATCAATACTGTTGGTATATTTTGTGCATTATCCGACTGTATTGGAGCTGCGGTTCGTATAAGCAAATTCCCGATAGGTGGTTATGGATTTTACCGTGGCAAAGAATATCAGTTGCCTTGTCTTAAAACAAGTGGGGGTTTGTCCCCATTATGCACGGTTTGTAACCCTTAGACCCTACCTATGTGTTACGATCAGATCTAGCAGATTACGATAAAAAAATTCAAAACATTTTTCAATAATTTAAATTCATATTATGAATAAACATCTTTTAAAAACATAGTTATTAATAATAAGCTCTAATTCGAGTAATATATAAAACTATAAATTTCTGAGTAAAACAAAATCTTTCATAAATTAGTATCGTTGTAATTTTAACATCATTCAGAAAAGAAATATATGTTGTAGGCATATGTCACCCATCATAATGGAAAATCGAAAGATAAAAACATTAAAACAAAATAATATTGTACAAATGTGTCGATCTTTTAAGTGTTAGGTCTGGGTCGCCTATGAAAAAGTAATTTGAAAGAAAAAAAGTTTGTGGAATGAGCTAGGGAGCTCAGTGTGTTCCAGTAGTGCAAAATAAAAACATACAGTTAAGTTTCAAAATTAGTTCATTATCAAAGTTATGAAAACTATAGTAGAGTTGTAGTTTAAAATATAGAACAACCCTTTAACTGTACATCATATGCAGTTCCCCAGAACTCTATCTATAAGGACTTACCTTAAGCGTAAAGGGCGTAGGTGCCAATCTAAGGGAGTATATTGGGGCCATAAGGTCTTATCCTAGTCGAAGTGTAGGTGCCCACTTGAAGAGTGTGTCCTAAGGCTCATAAGGACTTACCCAATGCATATAGTAGGGGAGCCACCCTAAAGGAGTACCTTAGGGTCCATCAGGTCTTACCCTTAGGCCCATTGGGCTTAGGAGCCCACCCAATGATCGCCTTAGGTCAATAAGGAATTAGCAGCTTGATCGGAGCTGAACTTGCAGAGACTTCATACTAGATCCCAGAGTATCCCGAAGAGAATAGTTTTCAAACAGTAACTAACAGTAGCAAGGAAATCATAATTCCAACAGATATCAATTCAGTAAAAATAGTAACCAGAAAACATGAATGAGACAAACAGGCTTAAAACTTCAGTAAATCAGAAATCAGGCTTGAAACAAATAAAACATGTGAAATTAAATTATATCAGCTAGCCATATTGCAAATCAGGTAAAACAATCATGTGCACACGATATTTCAAATATATTTAGCACACATAGAACACCTTGGAAAAAGAATCAGTCCGGGAGATCTATTGTGCACCAGTTTCACTAGGCTCTTCGACTGTACGAGAACCTAAGTCATATCAGAACAAAATTATTACCGGAGTAGTACACTAAATTGAGTATTTAACAGGGTTGCAGAACTATACGAGTAATCACGAGCTCTCGCAGAAGAACGGTCGGGAGAAACATGTGTACCTTAATATAATATAACATAAATTAGTCATTGACCCTCAATTAAATTAGATGCACTTAATTAAATCACTTAAATAAATATTTAAATTATATATGCATATTTGAGTTTAACGGAACAATTCAGATGCTTTCAATTTCAAATTTGGCAAAATGAACCTCGAATTCAGACTCGGGACATCGAAAAACATAAAATATGACTTTTCAAAAATTTTAACTTTTTAGTCAAAGTAAACTGGTCAAAGGTCAAAGTCAACGGGTCTGGTTAACGATCACCGGATAGGTCAACAGTCAGGTCAAAGTTAAAGGGTCAGATTGGTTCGGGTTGACCCAGTTCAACACGAACCGATTCTAGGAGGTTCCAAGATAGGTGAGGAGCCTCATGCGCATGATGTGGCTCGTGACGACCACGATGGGGTGGGCAGTCTAGTACTCCGAGATCACCAAAACATCAAGACCAAGCCATAACAACGCTCAAAACAAGCTAAAATCATCAAAAGCAAAAGAAAATGGCTGAAACTTTTACCTCGACGGCGGACGGACGAAACCAGCAACGACACGGTGACCTACCGGTTGGGTTTTGTGCGAACGGAGGTGGGGAGTTCAATGGTGCAGGCGTGAGGCTAGCCGATGACCGGGGCGACCGGAATCGAGGAAAAATCGAAGAGGCAGGGAGGTTTTTGACGGAACTTTAACGACTTCTCCACGACGATCGACGACACTTTTCGACAATCAGTCAGAGAGGTTTTGATCGGGTTGAGGCGGCGTCTTCACTGGAACAGGCGATGACACGTACCCCCGGTCGGAGGGGAGAATCGACAAAGAAGAGCGCAAACGTGTTTCTCCCTTCTTCTTGACGACGAACGATGATCGACTTTGGTGTTCCGACGGTCGGGGTCGGATCGTGGGAGGACGCTGGTTCAACTGGTGGTGTCAGTGAATGCCACGGATGGCTAGAATAGTGGTGAACGGTTGAAGATGGTGACGGTGGGGGATCTTTTTTTGGGGGGGAAATGGGTTCAGGGTTTGAGATTTCATGAGCATCGGGGGTTTTAAAAAATGGGTTAACACACGGCTTATTAAATATAAAATAAGAGTATTATTTCTAATAAAAAAATGTAGCTTAGCTTGATCGGTAGGGGCGTGGTTGGTTATGCAATAGGTTAGGGTTCAAGCCACACATTTTTTTTTCATTTTTTTTCTCTACTGACCCAAAAAGGAAAAATTTAGGACTAAGTCCCTGAACTTCCCAAACATTTGAGATTAACCTAGAATTTTCAAAACTATCCATTTTGACCCCTTAATTAAATTAAATAAATTAAATATGCAGCCTCCAAAAAGCTTGAAGGAGTTCTATTTGGTGTTTAGTAATTGAAACATGGGGCAAGGTAATCTGATTCAAGCATTTGCATTTGTTATGTTTAACTGATAGACAATTTTCCTTCTTGTTTTGATTGTTTTGTGAGATTGGAATAGGGTTTTGATCTGTGGATTCCACAGATTTTTTGCACAAGCGCTTTCATTGTCTTCTATTATTAGTTTTGGGGTGTCATTTCTGTATTATTCAAGATATGAAACATACTATTGGAATTGGTGGCTGGATTTGTTTTTCATTACTTTTTTCCCCATTGTTTACCCAAATAACAATAAATCTTAGGCCTCTTGGAATGCCATATTTTGTGTTTCTATGTTTTGACCATATTTGTTTAATTATGGTATTAAGTTAGGGTTTCTTTTTTGGATGGCCAATAGTGTTCTTTTAAAATTATTTCAATCATGTTCATTTATTAGTTCAACTGTGTTTGGTATTAAATGTCAGTTCAAATTTGTTGTAAAGTGTTTTTAAATGACGTAAATTTAATTTTAAAAAAGTGTATATTTTACTTCAATTTTGTATTTTAAAAAGTAGTTTGTCATTAAAATTTTATAGAATTATTTTGTTTTTAACATTCTATTTGATGAGTTTAGATTGATAGGATGATTTGATTAAATTGATATTCATAGTTTGAGAGCTTAATTAGAAAATTTTAAAGTTTAAAAATTAATTTAAAATCTGAATTATAATTTAAGGGACATATGAATAATTAATTTAAATTTTATATAAAAAAATAAAACACGATTTCCCTGTCATTAAAAGACTAAGTTTTGATTTATCAAAATATTTATTTATTATATTTAAAAAATTCCAACTCAGCCTCATGATATGGATTATCGTTGTCGCTCAACTAATGCAAATTTTGACGATGTTAGTGATTTGGATTGTGCCTTGAACTACAAAGACTAAACGAAAATCAAAGTTTGCGCGTAGAACCTACGCTTCCACATTTATCATCATTCAAAGAGATGAAATAACATCCATTTTCCATTCATGGATACTCCCATGATTAAAGAAGCCAACAACATGAACCTGAATCATCCTTCAATGACCTCCCACTCTCCAACTTTTCTCTTATACTGCGGCTTCCCTTCATCCCATCATGTTTCGGACATAGAGATGATAAAGATACAGTCGGTTTCTTACACGAGTTTGAAGGACTTGTTGTCTTCTCCGGCTGCACTGCAAACCGGCTTCAGTTCGCCGACGACACGTGGTAATAATAGTAATAATAATTGGAGATGTTGGAACGAAGAGATTCCCATAAAGAATCCGCTGGTCAAGCATGCGGCGTTGGCTTATTTGCAGCCCATGTCGAGTCCCACGGCGACGGCGGAAAAGGGTTCGTTCGTGGGGCTTAAGGGAATGTGCTGCCGTGAAAGTGGGTGCCTTCTCTGGTTGTACGATGTCGTTTGGAGGAATGTCAGGGAGGCGGTCTGGGAGAGCAGAGAAGAGGTTAATGATTCTTATGAAGACGATGATGACAAAGTTGACTGAAACTCAAATCGCTGCTTGTTTGACCGGTAGCTAATGGTACTAAATTATATATTATTGAGTACTAATATATTAACCAAGAAAGGATGTCTGAATATAACCCAACGTTTGTTTAGAGAGGAAGCAAGCTTTGATGGTTGGACAAGCTTCGTTTGTCTTACATGATAAAGCTAATATATTATAGTGATTAATTAGTGGTTAAGTTTGATTACATGCCGTCTCAATTACATCTAAGTCGATAAGACTAATATCATCTATGGCTTTTGACGTTGACTTCTTCATAAGCACAAACAAATGACGATTCTTTTTCTTAATTAATGGTGTAACAACTCCATTCCTACACGCATGTTGAGTCATTGTGACTGCTTGTTTTGGTTGTCTTTCGCTAACCAAAATGTTACATGTCATGTGTTAGTATAAATAATATGTGTGTATTTAGTCCAGATTAATCAGTCAAATTTTAGAATTCGAATATGAATTTACATGTCTATAAACAATGTCTTGTTGTCTCTATTCATTTGTCGTTGGTCTTTTACAATTGTGTTGGAGGTTTGTTTACAGTTGTTTTGCTAGCTATATGGGTTTTACGACAGCAGCTATCACAAATAATCACCGCAACAGCAGTTTCCATCTTCAAAGTGATGAAACACCTTGGAGTCTCCCACTACTATCTCTCTTTTACTAATCTTTGAGACCCTCTTTGCAAAATTGTGGCAATCCTCGCAAATTTTGATGTTCTTTCTAACGAGAACCGGAGACCCCAACTCCGTCGAGATCAATCCGAAAGAGATGGCCGATCTCATGCTATGATTCTCTGGTACATTTGGTTTCTTTCTTGTCAAATCTGTTCTTCTCAACTTGGTAAAACGGCGAGCATAAACATCTTCATCTTCCGCTGTCATTTTCGTGATGATATCCATCACGTCATTGACCATGTTCACCTGAGCGTTCAACCCGTCTTGATCGACTAACCTGTGAACTTTATAGTCTTTCTCAGCTGTACTAAATCCCATTGTTTTTGCTATGCCTTCTTGAATCATAAGAGTTCTGGTCGTCTCTACATCTGCCCACCTCCCAGCTTCAGCATACATGTTAGAAAGCAAGATGTAACACCTTGTATAGTCATGCTCCAGGGATAAAGCATGCTTGGATGCAACTTCTGCTAATTCGATGTCATTGGTTTTTCTACTTGCAGATAGTACAGAACCCCAAATCCGGGCGGTAGGAACAAGCGGCATTTCTTCAATAAAATGCTTAGCTAGATCAAGATTCCCAGTTCGACCGATAAGATCCAGCATACAACGTGCTCTATTCCTGGGTCAATACAGTAGTCTCTTTTCATTGAATCAAAGTATTCCCACCCTTCTTCAACCATGCCAGAAATGCTGCAAGCTGATAATAGAGAAACAAAAGTGCTCTTGTTAGGCTTGATACCGTTTTCTATCATTTCGTGGAACAACTGGACGGAAATTCTCCTGAACCCATGAATGGCGTAAGCCATAATGGTTATGTTCCATGAAACATCATCTTTACAAACCATGCCATCAAAACGTGTCCTTGCAGTCAGGAGATCTCCACACTTGGCATACAAATAAATAATCGAATTTGATATGACGACAGTAGACGAACTAAGCCTCAATTTCGTAACAACAGCATGTATTTGCCTATCCTCACTCAAGGAGGTTACTTCAGCATATGCTGGTAATATGCTTGCAAATGTTATCGCATCCAGTTTAACGGAATTGTACCAAATGTCTAGGAACAGTTCCAAGGCTTCTGAATGCCATCCATTCTGTACATAAGCAGCAATCATCGCATTCCACGATGCCAAGTTCTTTTGGTTGATTAGCGTAAAGACATGCTCAGCCAGTTTCAACTTCCCACACCTTCCGTAAAGATCAACCAGAGCAGTCTACAATACTATATGAGGGAGAAACCCTTTTCTGATTGCACTAGCATGAATAGACTTGGCCATCAAAAGGGCTCCCGTTTGTGCGCAAGCTGGAAGTAAGTTTATCATTGTAATAACATCAGGCATCAACTTTCCAACATTTTGCATCTTCTTAACACAAGAGAATGACTCGTAGAAACGATCATTGGAAGCATACCCAGAAACCATAGCATTCCAAGCGACAATGTTTTTGTCGACGATCATGTCGAGTACCCTCTCTGCATAAATCGCATTCCCGCATTTCCCATACATATCAATCAGTGAAGTTTCCACCCAAGGATCTGAAGACACTCAATTTCATATTTTGTTACATTATATAATTATATTGTATAATTATATATATAATATATATAATATTATTTCTTTACATTTGTGCAGGCCTGATACATCAATAGCTTGCTACACGTGGCCCAACAAGACCCAAATCCCACGTGAGCAGCCCGTGACACCCAAAGTCTCCAGAACCCTAGCTCCATGCCTCGTTCCAAGCGGCGCCGCTTACCCGAGGACCCCTCAGTTCGTATGCCTCTCTCCACCAACGGTCATCCCGATTCTCCCGACGCAAGGAAGCGACCAACGACCCACAAAATCAACAACCAACATGCATTAGAATTCTACTTTTAATAGGAGCCTAAAAATAAGTCAGTTTTTTCAGTATAAATAATACACATTTGTAACACTACGGATTCATTGGATCACAGAGAAATCACCACACACGCAAACTCACCATAGCCAACACAAAGAAAGTTCAAACACTTGTAGAGATTTTCGAAAAAGAGAATAAAAAGGTAGCGTTTTTTCTTTTTTCACCTTTGTTTGTTTGTGTTTCATCGTTGCATGTCGAGTGTTGCTTGCTATTTTGCCCGGAAACCCCAAAGAAATGTTTGGCCGATGACCCGGGTAGGGGTATTTCGAATGGATTTGCTCTAGATCCACCCTCCTGAGGCCCTCTTTTCACAAAACTAACCTTGTTTCCAGAACAAGGGCTCAACGATCTCCTGAAAAATATGTTTTTTTTTTATTTTTGCCGCCGATGAACGGCGTCGGCGAGGCGGCGTGTGGAGGCCACGTCGGTCGGTTTCTGGAAAACCCAGCCTTTGTTCATCCTTGGATGAACGAGCCAGAGAAAATGTTGAGAGAGAGAGAGGGCTCTCTCGTGCGAAGAAGAGAGAAATGAAGACTTTCAAAATTTTTTGGCTTTTATACATCGACCGACCCGACCCGCGACCCAAGCGGATCCCTTAGGGGATCCGTGTGTTTTTGAAATAATTAGGGCAAACTACTCTTTTGGTCCTTCGTTGATTCTAAAGAGCTATTTCGACCCCAGAATTGAATTCACACCTTAATATTGCTTTGAATTTTGACCTCTAGCCTACGATTCTTGCAATTTATTCACTGAGCAGTTTAATTCATTTATTTATATATATATATATATATATATTTTAATTTTTTAGTTTTTTCTATATTATATTTTACATGCGTATTTATTTATATTAATACATATATGTTTTCTTCTCTTTTTTTCATTTATTTATTATTACTATTTTTCTAATATTTCATTTTCTTATTTACATATATTAATTTTTTTATCCTTTTTTATATAGACGTACATTATACTTATTGCTTCGATACTTTTACGTATATTATATTCATTTGTTTATATTACATTTTTTTATTTATTATTTCGTGTATGTATACATTAGTTTTTTTTATTACCATCATTATACATATATTTTTATTATCGTCTTATTTTTGTTTAGTTGTTTGCCATGTATATATTATTATTACTATTTTTCTTCATTTTATTTCTTTTGTTTATCCTATTCATTCTTATCTTTGCCTCATTTTGATTTTATTTGTTTTTTATTATTTTCTTTATCTCATTCGTTTTTACTTTCTTTATTATTTATTTGTCTTTTTTTAACACGTCTTTTGACTTCTAAAGAGTACATTTCCAATCAATCAGAGGTAAGTAATTTGGATCGTTATTTTACCTCTTAATTTAAACTTTCAATTTTCTTAATCAAATACAACTGTAAATTACGTAGTACCGAAAGGGCAGTTCAAGGGTGCTAATCCTTCCTTGGTTGTAAACGACTCCCGAATCCGACATATCTTTGGTAAGACGCATATCAGGTAAGATATAAGGTATCCGATTAACCTATTTATTTTTAAATAAATAATCGGTGGCGACTCCAATCCATATTTTTCAAGTCGAAGCCCAATCCTGGGGCCCAACCGAAAGACGGTTCCGACAGCTTGGCGACTCCGCTGGGGACCCAGGTAAGTGAGTCAGACTAAGGTAATTTCCAGTTGTTTTTTTAATGAAAAGGGTAAGTTTGAATTTTAAGGTAACATTTCGATCCTTATTACTTACTTTTGGTTTTTTTTGAGTAAATAGTTGGACTGACCGTTTTCTAATGATTTCAGCTTTCCAAACTTTTTCATCCAAAGGCTCTATACCCGAGCTCCGAACCCTTTAAGTGGGGGTGAAAGCGATGCATTCGTGTGAATTTATTCACCGCATATGCCTAACAAGTAGCCTTCGGGATTCATATACCTTATGTCTTCGTGTGAATTTATTCTCTGCATAGACATAAGGGAATGTGTCCTCTCGAGTTTAACTTAGTCCACACAAGCCTGTGATGGGTTTAGGACTAAGGGTCTGGTAAGCCCAAGGGGGCACCGGCAAGGAGAACTCGGGTACCGTTTTTAGAACCTAAACCGGGAGACTTTTGAAGAAATAGAGCCTACCACAAAACCACATTCCAAAACCTAGGACATTGTTTACCTAACCATGTTTTTGTCCCTATGCTTTTTACCTTGCCATTTGTTTTTCATTTATTTATTTATTTTTACTTTTACTAACTTTTTGCCTTTGTGTTTGTTTTGTTTAGCATTTGCATCATAACAAGAGGCCATTGATCCCTAAAAAGATGTTCATTACACAAAATAATCTAAATTAATGGATAAAGGTGTTGTAATACAAGAGATTAAAAACCTCGAGGTACGACTATGGTCCGAGAAGACTCAGAAGGAAAAAGGGAGACAGTCTTCAAGGAAGCTA